GGGCCCGGGCGCGGGCCCGGACGCTACGCTCTGAAGGGAAGGCGCGGACGTGAGTTTCGGCTTGATTGCCTTCTGAGGGGAGGGTCTGTGGGATGAAGGGGGTGCGCACCGGTGTCGCCTAGCCTGCGGACCTAGTTGGAGACTTTGCAGGGGTTGGCTTCTGCCCCCCCCGCCCCATTTAGGGGTGTGCACCTAACGGTGCCGCTGCACCTCAGAGAAGTTCTGTCTGGTTCGGTGCGGCGCGCGGTACGGGAGCGGGAGGGAGGAACCGCGGGAGGGAGGGACCACGGGCGGAGAGAGCGCCAGAGCCGGGCCGAGCCGCGCTGGAGTTACAAACTCTATTGTGACGCACTTACTACGACTGACGGCCGCTGCCAAACCTTCCCCAGACTTGCTGCCCTCAGCATTTTCGGCAAACAATGGGGCCGGAGCAGGGAACGCGGCCAGCCGCCTGCAATCGCTGCGTCTGCGCCCGCTCCTTTGCTCCAGCGTCCTACCTAACGCCGGGAAGTCAGAGCCGCTGGGAGTTTCTGACTTATCCAAGTCCGTCCTGGGCAAAGAGCACACGCGAATAGACTTCAGATTAACTACTTTTCTGGAAACGCGCGTGTGTGTGCACCAGTTCCTCAAGCTGTTGACATTGTTACTGTATTTTGTTTGGGGGTACGAAGTTTAATCCCACCTTCTACCAAAAAAAAATTATACCTTTATTATTTTAGGTGCAATTTTTTTATTTGGGAGATTGTCGGAAAAGTATAGAACATAAAGTATTTGGGATTAACCCTAAGAGCTGATTTATTCTTTTTTTTTTTTTTTTGCTTAAAATAATCTTAGTTTTTATTTTACTTGCAGAAAAAAAGACCAAATGGCAAAGCAACCTTCTGATGTAAGTTCTGAGTGTGACCGAGAAGGTAGACAATTGCAGCCTGCGGAGAGGCCTCCCCAGCTCAGACCTGGGGCCCCTACCTCCCTACAGACAGAGCCACAAGGTAATCCCGAAGGCAATCACGGAGGTGAAGGGGACAGCTGCCCCCACGGCAGCCCTCAGGGCCCGCTGGCCCCACCGGCCAGCCCTGGCCCTTTTGCTACCAGATCCCCGCTTTTCATCTTTATGAGAAGATCCTCCCTGCTGTCTCGATCCTCCAGTGGGTATTTCTCTTTTGACACAGACAGGAGCCCAGCACCCATGAGTTGTGACAAATCAACACAAACCCCAAGTCCTCCTTGCCAGGCCTTCAACCACTATCTCAGTGCAATGGGTAAGCAATGCCTGGGTAAGAGGCAGTTGACGTGTGGATGGTTGAATCTGCTTGAAGACTGTGTGTGGCATTTAAAATCCCATAACTGATTTATTCTACGTTTTGATGGGAATGGAGGATGTGTCAAACTATCAACCAACTTTTTTTGAGACTGGTCTTGCTCTGTCGCCCAGGCTGGAGTGCAGTGGTGCAATCTCAGCTCACTGCAACCTCCACCTCCCGGGTTCAAGCAATTCTCTTGCCTCAGTCTCCCGAGTAGCTGGGACTACGGGCGCGTGCCACCACGCCCAGCTAATTTTTTGCATTTTTGGTAGAGATGGGGTTTCACTGTGTTAGCCATGATAGTCTCAATCTCCTGACCTTGTAATCTGTCTGTCTCAGCCTCCCAAAGTGCTGGGATTACAGACGTGAGCCACCACGCATGGCCCAAGCCAACATTTTTACAAAGTTATTAACTTTTGTGACAGTGATGAGTTGAGGTCCAAACATTAGCTCTCAGGTCTGCCTTCATTAAGCAAAAGTGTGTAACCACAACATGTTTTAACCACCAGGCTTTACATAGTAATGACATTTTGCTTGAAAGGGAACTCATCGTTTACAGAAAATAGCTTAATAATCAAAAGTGTAAAGAAAGATGACAATCATTTTTGAAAATGGCACTTTTAAAAAAATGAACGAGTTCGTGAAAGCAGTACCAACATAGAACCATGAAAATGGTTTGTTTTCTGCTTAAATTTCTCTTTACACTTCTTGCTCAGGAGGTTTGGACATAGTGCTAATCAGATTAGGTTGTCGGTTTTTATTTCAGGGATTAAAGGCAGTTGTAGGGTTTGAACCAAGAGTGGCTAACATAAATACCACAGAGGCCCGCAGCAAAATCATGGAAGGAACTGAGCTGGTGGAGACTGGTGAATTGGAGAGTATTTGCCCCTTCTATGTTTGGGCCACGCCTAATTGTGGCTGTGGGGACATGTGGTCTCAGGGTGGGTTTTTCCTATATTGCAAGATAACCCAGGAATGCAAAATTGATGCCAGATACCCTGTTTCAACATTGACAGCTAATTTAGATTTTGAAAACATTGTACAAGCTGAAAAGAAACATCTGCAGACTTGATGTGGCCCTTGAACCTCCAGCATGTGACTTTGGGTGCATACTTTGGGTAACCCTCGTGAGGGTCTGAATCTGTGTTGATCAACTTGCTGTTTCCCACCAATGGAAAAGGTTCATGTCTTGATCAGGAGTCAATCACATTGACCATTCGTCGAGATTAGCTTGCCATACATGAGCAAGATAGAAGTAAGTCGGTAAAGTTATCAATTAGGAAATCCAGTACAGAGTCTATTATTGTACTTCATGATGAAGGCTAACTTAACAAACCCATCAAAGTAGACACTGGAACAAAATGACATTTCTAAATACCATCTAGCTCTGTTTTCATAGGCTTCAGTGAGGTAAATCGGGCAGGTGTTTGCCCATGTTACAGAATTGGAAAGAACCTCAGAGTGGTGGTCACTTGTCAGAGGTTGGGCACACCTGTGAAGTGGTGGGCAGAAATGACAAACATCCCAGCAGCTGCACATGTTGGCTGCACATCTCCTGCCAAATGCCAAGAGGTACTTTTTTAGGGCCCCTCCTTAGGGAAAGGAGCTGGAAGTTTTTTTATTGCTGTTACTACTACTCGTGAACTCATTTCGGCCTTAGAAGTTCTTGGTGCTTATAGTTTTTGTTCTACTCATGAAAATGCTCCCCCATATATGTGATCATTCTTGCTTACTATAACATCCTTGCTTACTAAATGAGTTAAAAAGGGCTTTATGGTGTGTATCCTGAAACACATGTACTTTAAAGACCTTCTGGAAGCTATTAGCTTTTCACACTTTCACAACAAAAGCTTCACACTTGTGGTTATTGAGCTATTTTCTCTAACCAGGTCTCTTTCAAGCAAAATGCATACATTGGTCTCTGTAGATGGTAGGTTAATGCATGGAAATAGTTTCTCCTTCCCTGGAACTGGGAATAGTGGGTGAGATAGTATATTTTTTAATGTAAAGACAGGCATGAATGCTTTTTTTGGTGATAAATACTATTTTACAAGCTAATTATAAGTTAAGCACTGTTACTTGAGATGAAAGATATAGGGCTTCAAAGATCATAATCTAATTCTACACAGTTAATGGTTATACCTGTGAAGTAAAGTAGTGGATCCTGAGGTATAATTTTATAGTACTAGCTACATTTCAGTAGATGGTGTGATGAAGAGTTTAATGCATAGGATTAACTGAGAAGTTACAAGGAGTTTGGTTTAAAGTTAATGTCCCGAGGTAAATTTTCAGTGTTAAGTTTTTGGGAGATTTGTTTTGGAAGAGGATGAGTTGTGGTTGGGGGAGGAAAGAACTTAGCCAGATGTGAGTTTCTTAAATTGAAGCATAAAATTTACAATTTGTGTAGTCCATAATTTTCTGTGGACATTCTACAGTCTTAGTTCATGCCTGAAGACTACTGAGATAATGCTGAGTTCATAAGTGGTTCTCTTGACATTGTTTAGTATTCTTTACTCAACCCTATCCATGAAGTTCTTCAATGAAGCTTTTGATAATTTATTGCAAAATAAGTTTTTCACAAAGAAGTCATTATGATTGGTTTGAACTAGTGGAACACAAATGTGAGGTTAAAAAGAGGTTCGCCTTAGCCAGGGGCTCCTTTAGCCACAAAGCAGTTTTTTGCTAGCAACTTGGGTTAGACATCAGTGTGTCTTGAAGTTTTGTTTTTGCATCTTTGTTCTAATGAGAAAGTAAAGTCCTATGAGGAATGTATAGTAATTACATGTATTAATACTATTTTCATATTTTCCTTTATGTCTCTGATTTTTCTGAAGACAGATTCAAGGAATCAAGGAATATATTTATCTGTTGGGCAACAGATGCAGTTTTTTCACTTTTCCTCAATTTTAGTCTCCTTACACTCTGGGAGGATTAACTTGACACATGATACCTTAGTGAATAACTGATTATTTTTATCAAAATCACTCACATGTGTCGGTTTACTGAGTGCCTTTTTGGATGAGTGTTTTATGCCATATGTGTTTTTAATGCAAATTAAAGCGTAGTCAGTACACTAAAGTGTAGTCGGTACGATTGAAAATAAGAGTTGAGAAAAGTCAGGATATGGAGGAATGCTCCCTAGTGTCATGTTAGTAAATGTCTTCAATTTTATACTTGTTCCCTGGCACATCGGAATTCACAGATGGGAGTTAATGGCTTTCTTCTTCTTTTTTTTTCCTCAGTGTCTTGTGGGTACTTCTCTTATAGCTGGTAATTGTCTGACCCCTCCTTTAGTTTGTGAGCTCCCTGGTCGGGGAATAATGTCCTGCAGATGCTAGCGAGCGCCTGACAAAGAGGAGAAGCCCAGGAGATGTTGCGGGTCAATCCACCTCTGCCTGTTAGCCTTTCCAAGGAGCAGTTTTTAACTGAGGACAAATAGTTTAAGAAGGCAGGTAGCAAGAAAAAGATCCTGACCTCTGCTCCGCCAAAATGTTTTTAATTACCTGGATCTAGCTGTAAGGATTGCCACATAGTGGTGATAGCTAAGGTCTAGCTCAGCACTGCACAGCAGGGAAGCCACGCACAGCATTAAGCACTTGACATAGGACTAGTCTGAACTGAGTTGTGCTGTCAGTGTTGATACACACTGGATTTTCAGAAAATAAAAAAGAATGCAAAATAGTTTAATTGTTTTCATATGGGTTACATGTTGAAATGGTATTTTAAATATATAGGTTAAATGAACTATAAACTTGTATTGCAGTTAAAAAAATACAAAGCATAAAATTTACCACCTAAACAATTTATTTCTAAGTGTACTGTTCAGTAGTGTTCAGGTCACTCATTTTGTTGTGCAGCCAATCTCCAAAACTTCTTCACCTTGTAAAACAGAAACTCCGTACTCATTAAATAACTCCCCATTTCTCCCTCCCCCCAGCTTCTGACAACCATCATTCTATTTTCTGTCTATCAATTTGACAACTTCAGGTACCTTATATAAGTGAAATTTATACCATATTTGCCCTTCTATAACGGGCTTATTTCACTTAGCATAATGTCGTCAGGGTTTATTTATCTTGCAGAATGTCAGAATTTCCTTCCTTTTTAAGGCTGAAGGTTGTTCCAGTGTGTGTATATCACATACTTCATGGATCCATTCAGTTACCAGGGACACTTGGGTTGCTTCCGCTTTTTGGCTGTTGTGAGTAGTGCTGCTATGAACATAGGTATGCAAATATCTTTTGGGGATTCTGCTTTGAAGTTTTTTGGATATATACTTGGAAGTGGAATTGCCAGATCATATGGTAATTCTATTTTTAATTTTTGGGGGAACCATCATGCTGTTCTCCATAGAGGCTGTGCCATTTTACATTCCCACCAACAGGGCACAAGGGTTCCAATGTCTCCACATACTCACCAACACTTTTTTTTTGTTTTAACAGTAGTCATTCTAGAGGATATAGGTGATAGTTCATTGTAGTTTGGATTTATATTTACTGGCTTAGATTTGTATGGCCACCACCACAGTCAAGATACAGAACAACTCAACCACAAGGATTTCTCATGATACCTTTTTATAAGCACAGCCACCTCTCTCCCTCTTCCTTGAGCATCTAGTCATGCTCGTCGGTGATTAAATAAAATGTATTTTAATATTGACTTTCTCTGTTTATTTCTACCTTTTTAAACGTGGCTACTAGAAAAATGCAAAATTCGATCTGTGGCTGGTGTTCTGTATCATCTCAACAGGCTGGCCTCACAGAGAGAGGAGCTGGAGTGTGCAGTGCTGCTCTAGCAAGCAAGACTTGACTTTTCCCACTCAGGGCACATCACTTCCAAGAAGCTTACTCCTTGAGTTATTTGGTTGACCTAAGAAAATGAAAGTGATCAGCCGAATCTTGTGAGCATTTTAAACATTAAATGAGCATTGTAAACAGTGGCATTCTCCAGGCAAATAT